CTACATCTTTACCTTCTACACACACTTGGGAGCGGTAGAAGAGGGACCCAATCGAGATTATTAGAGTATAAAAGGGTAGTGGAGTCGGGACTGAATCGGAGAGCGTAGTTTCGGAGGCTTTACTAGATGGATTGAAATGAGAAACGGAGAGGTGAGAGAGCAGTGTGCAAATACAAGGATGGGATTTGGAGAGAGCCCTGAGAGTCTTCGAGGAGAAGGATCTAGACACCCATGGAAAGTCTGGAGCTCAACGAAGAAGAAGTAGGGGACGAAGGAATTTAGGGGTTTTGGACTTTTGGGGACGACAGATCGCCGAGAGAAAGGAGAATGGTGATGACGTGAGCTAGGATGCCGCCTACCTGCCTGCGCCTGTTCTATTTCAGCTACAGGCAACAAGTAATTGGGCCTCGGAAGTCTGATTCATCTTTCCGTTGGTGCCCTCGTACCCAGAGTAGAAGAATTAGAAGTTGACGAGCTATCAATTACAGGAGGAGGAACTAGGATGGGAAATCGGGAGAAGCGGAGTTAGCGATAGCGGTTGAAACGGTGGCGGTGACAGAGCGGCTAAAGCGGAGGCAACGAGAGCGGCTAATTAAAAGTCGGAAGTTAGAGAGGATTCGTCGGAGAATGCGGCGGCGGAGAAAACAGATGGAGGCCAGAACGAATCGGGAGGAGAGAGGAGGAGAAGTCCCATATGTCTTAATTTTAAAAGTTTAATTTTTTTATATTTTTAATAGCTAGAAATAAGGTGGAAAATTAACGGTCAACTCTTAGAGTTGACCGCCATGTAGGCAAAAGTTAACGGAGGTGGACGGAGAGTGACCAAATTTGACATAATTAACTAATTTTAGTGACCACGAATGAAATTAAATATTTTTAGTGACTAAACGTGAACGTTTTTAGTAATGCCAGTGACAAACCTTGTCTACCCAAAAGGAAAATGAGAAATAAAAAAAATCAAAGCGTAGAAAACTCGCTTTCTATCTAAAATTGGTCAACAATGTATTCAACTCGCTTTGACCCAATTTCTAACAAATTAACACTTGGTCCAACCTACAACTACAAAAGCGGATAAAGCTCGCTCACAATACAACACTCGTCAAAACCTTAGATTCGGGTTCAATTGCCTTCCCAACCAAAAGAAAAAAAAGGAAAATTTATAAATACTAAATTTGGTTTCAAGTCGCTTTGACCATATCAAATTAGGTTGCATACCCATGAATTTGGGTTCAATTGTTACATTCTCAACAAAAAAGAAAAAGTGAAACAAAAAAATAGTAAAGCGGATGGAACTCGGTCTCGATACGAAACTCGCCCATATTGAGTAGATCTTGTATGGATTTTCGGTAGCGGCATTGCGAAACAGTTGAGGGGGACAACTTAGGATTCAATTGACGGTGTTTTCAGAAGGTTGTGAATTGGTAAGCGATATTGAGGATTGTACAGAGCTTATCTACTATGGATCTTTGGTCGTGTCCATGGCAAACGGTGGAAGAGGATATCTCAAGATTCCACTAACACTGTTTCGAGTTGGGTTGCAAATGGTGCAAAAAGGCGATGATTTGGGTTCAAGTTACAATACCCATGTGTTTGGGTTCAATTGTGATAATCGTCAACAAAAAGAAAAAGGAGAAATAAAAAAATACTAAAGAGGATGAAACTCAGTCCCGATACAAAACTTGTGGTAGCAGCCATGGGAAACAGTGGTGTGGAACAACTTAGGATTCCGCCGAAAGTATTTCGAGATGTGCTGCAAAATGGTGGGCAAAGGCGATGATTTGTGCAAAAAGTCATAGCCGAAAATCTAGTGGATAGTTGCTGAAATGGTGCAAAAAGGCGATGCTTTGGATTTAAGTTAGAATACCCATTTGTTTTAGTTCAATTGTGATCACGCTCAACAAAAAGGAATAAGAGAAAGAGAAGAACACTAAAAAGGATGAAACTCAGTCATGATACAAAACTCGCGGTAGAGGCCTTGGGAATCGGTGGTGTGGAACAACTTCGGATTTCGCGGACAGTATTTCAAGATGGGTTGTGAAATGGTGGGCAAAGGCGATGATTTGCTGAAATGGTGCGAAAAGGCGATGATTTGGGTTCAAATTAGGATACCCATGTAATAATTTGCTGAAATGGTGTGAAAAGGCGATGATTTGGGTTCATACACAAAAACCTAGTGGGTAGTTGCTGCAATAGGGGGGTTGAAAACCTAGCATGCAATATTTGTTATGGGAAACACAATGGACAATATATATAAACCTAGCGAACAATAGCTAAACACAATGGTTGTAGAATGGAGAGTGAGGTTAAAGGAGGATTTGGAACTTTCCTACTTACACTTGAAGGAGTGTGAGAGCCACTAATGAATAGTAACCTACAACTTTGGTTTTTATATATTAATTAATAATTAATTAATGGAAAACACAATGGACAATAGATATAAATCTAGCGAACAATAGCTAAACACAATGGTTGTAGAATGTAGAGTGGGGTAAAAGGAGGATTTGGAACTTTTCCACTTGCACTTGAAGGGGTGTGAGAGGCACTAATGAATAGTAACCTACAACCTTCACTTTTATATATTAAAAAAATTCTCACTTGCACTTGAAGGGGTGTGAGAGACACTAAAGAATAGTAACCTACAATCTTCACTTTTATATATTAAAATAAATGTTTTAGTGCCAAAATTGAATTACCATAATTCCATGATATAACAGTTAAAAATAACAATAAAAACGATGACAAAAATGCAAACGCTACTGAATATCAATTTCCTTTCAGGTGCCTGAATGCAGGGGCGGACCCAAGGGGCTTCAGAGGTGTCCCGGGACATCCCTAAATTTTGGGAAAATGATTATTCAACACTCGGTGGTAATTTACGTATGGAAAAAAAATTATAATTGACAGTGAGGGATACCTCTGAAATTTGAAAAAATGATTGTCCTACTATCATTTTTTAAATTTGTGTATGGGAATATAAGTGGTAGGTTAGGTAATTCAAATCTAGAACACTATTATTATCAATAAACATAATTTTCATTAAGCTACAACTCATTTGTTGTTCGATTTTGAACACTGTGCAATAGTAAAATGTCATTCCCTATCTCTAATTATTTTCAAAACCTAACAATTAATAAACTAATTTCAAGCTACCCTTAATCTGTATTGATTTTAATGTTGTACAGCAAATGTTGAAAAAGTTTTTCAGCTTTGGATTACATAAAACAAAAGTTTACAAATCGAATATGTGATCAGTTCGTGAATGATTGTTTAGTAGGGTATATAGAGATAAAAAAAAATTTAACACTGTAGACACCAAGTGTATTCTACAATTATTTCTGAATATGAAAACGCATCATGAACTTTTTTTAACCTGTACGAGTGAGGTATTTTTCTTATTTACGATTTTTTATTTTTTATTTTTATTTAATTTATTTTTTGAAAGAGGACACTCCTATGTAAAATTTCTGGGTCCGCCACTTGAAGAGGAGACGCTGTCATTATTTTGATCAATATGTTTAGACAAGGGATTGTATGGATTTCAACTACATTTACATATTTTTATACGCTCTCCCAAAGTCAATTTATTTATTTGAAGTTCACATAACAACGATTAAAATTAGAGGTTATGAGAACTTAAACACGCGATCTTAAAAACAAACCCAATTTGATATCATATTATAAACCAACTGATACCGATAACTACTCGAATTATTGAAAAAAATGTCCATTTATATATTTTATCCACTACCTCGAATGTTTAGTTTTATAAGGAGCAAATGCATCTGTGTAGGTAACTAAATATGAAATATTCCGTAGGCATTCAGGCAGGGCGCATATACAGCTCGGAGAATAAGATTAAAAAAAAAATTGATGGATAGATTAGAGAGAGCTGAAATGACGAGCAGCCTGGAAAGCTATTAATTCGCCGCCGACCTTTAACTATCTGGAATCAAATGGTAATAACCGGCCAACGTCCAATATAATTTATAAGAATGCGATTATTTAACATCATTTAATTTAAGTATATGCAATTAAGCAAACTGAATCAAACTGAATAAGGGTAAATGGCAAGATTGGTCACTGTGATTACTAAAAGAAGTACTGTTTGGTCACTAAAAATATTTAATTCTATTAGTGGTCACTAAGTTTAGGAAAACATGTCATATTTGATCGCTTTCTATCTAACTTCATTAACTTTGTTTGATGTTGCGGTCAACTCTCTGATTTAACCATTAAATGTATGATGTGGTAATTAAAAAAAGAAAAAAATTTCCACCTTATTATAATAACCATTAAAAATAAATAAATAATATTATTTATTTTAATTTCCTGACCCTAATGAAGTAACCTCTCCCAACCGGCCGACGAACACGATGGACAACATAAAGGGCTCCAACGATGGAAGCTGGTTTGGTTTATTGAATCTGGTGGAATCTGAATTGGTTCATTTTAATACCCCAAACCTAATGAATCTGGTTTTGTGTGTGCCCTCCATTATTTCGTGTACGGAGATTAGTATTGCGATCGAGATATTGGGTCTCTGCGAAGGGTTCCAAGAACCAGTTGCTCCCAATAACTTGAGTTGTTGGGAGAGGTTCAATCGTGGATCATATACCACAACACTAACACGCCCCTTCAAACGAAAGTCACTCACAAGGGCTTGAAATTTGCACAGGTCTGAAGACAAGAATACCATGTGCTTAACAAATGGGGGTCACCGGGAATCGAACACAAGACCTCTCGGTCACAGAAGGCTCTGATACCATGGCAAGAACCAGTTGCTCCTAATAACTCGAATTGTTGGAAAAGGTTCAATCGTGGATCATATACCACAACACTAACAAAGGGGGCTTGGAGCGCATCCTCTCCACAAACCGCGCTTACCTGGACCCCGAATCTATCTCCACCCGCTCCTCTGCCAGATCCAACCTCTCCGTCTTCGACGTCGTCGCCGCTGTCGAAATCGCGGAAGCCGGAGCTGACGCATCGCCAAGGTAGTGATGGTTGCGGTCCGGACGATGTTCAACGGGGAGCGACTCTTGTCCGATCACGTCTTCTCTGCTTTTGCGGAGATTAGGACACTAGGGATTGGGACTCCGCCACGGAGCTTAAGCGCGACAGGGGACATGGCCGCTCATTCAGTAGGTCAGGTTCGGGTTGGATGGCCTAGATTCCCGTCCGATTGGCTTCCTTGTCGAAGAATCCGAGAACGCAGACGAGGAGATTGGGAAAGAGCAGCAAGAAAAGGTTTTATGCCGGATCCTTCGCGTTCGTCAGCCGGTAAGGAGAGCTCCACCTCGCCTCTTCTTCTGTCACCAACTTCAATCGCGGTGAGAAAGAGGGGTGAGGTTAGGTCATTAGTTTGAGGGAATTAAAATGACTAACTTTTATTTTTTATATTTCTATTTTTAATGGTTGTGATAGTGAGGTGAAAATTTTGAAATTAAATTTTTATTAGCTTTAATTGCCACGTCATACATTTAACTGTCAAATTTGAAAGTTGACAGCCACATCAGAAAAACTTAACGAAATTGGGCGCAGAGTGACCAAAAATGAAATGTTTTACTAAACTTAGTGACCACGAATGAAATTAAATATTTTTAGTGACCAAACATGACAGTTTATAGTAATTTTAATGACCAATCTTGTAATTTACCCAACTGAATAATAAAGATAGAATTTTCTGTAATTCAGTTAGAAAGAAGACACAAACGACATTTCTCCCCTCCCAGTTGCTCCCATATTTTCATATTTGTTGTATGCGTTGGGACTTTTTGTAGGAGGGTCTAATAATTATATGATAATTCAAAATTGGGTGATTAGGATTGTGATAGGATAAAACTATCATCCTTTTAGATTCTAGGTTCAAGAGCACTAAAACATACTTAAAAGTTTTAATAGGAAGAAGAAAAATAAGTTTTTGTTGTATCATTAACAACATTCGATGCCTCTATTTACAGACACAATAACCGAAGCATTGTAGTGCTTCATGAGAATGTTTGGTGGCTAACTACCAATTCCAAAATATTTTCTTTATCCAAATCTAACTACCAATTTATTTTATGAAGAGTTGCATTCCATCATCAAACAATGCATTACTTGGATCAAACAATACATGTAATGACAATTCCAAATTGCATGAAACAAAATGCATCACGCGGAGAAATGAAATGAGAAGTTGCCCAATTCGAAAGATATGAAAAGTTGGATAATTCAATTGGCATGTAGGCAAATTATTTTAATTAACCCGATCCAATAATTTAACAAAATTGGAATGTAGGATAATTCAACTGTAATGTGTTTGGTTTAGTAATTTGGTTGGTTTCCTCATTCTGGCATTTGATTGGCTTCCAATTTGAGAGGTTATGTCCCTCGGGAAAAAAAATTAGAGGTTATGCTTCAAAGCTCTCATTTGGATATGATTTCTGAGTTGTTGATTTTGCAAGAAAAGCCAATAGAGCTTTGATGATTAGGGATGATAAGATGAACTCTTTCTCATTTCTTCCTTAATATTTGCGGTAATACTTTGAAAAAGGATAAGTAACCACAAAACAAGTACCTAATACACACTCACAAGAGAAGAGCTTCCGGCCTTTGGTCGTACTATATGCGATCTGGGCGTGGATTTCTTTGGGGTTTCTTTAATGTCTACCGTTGCAATTGTTGAGTTCTATTTTGGATTTTTTCTGCTTTCCTCACCATATTCTGTGTACTCTCTAACCATTGGATTATCGGATGCAATTTGTTCTAGGCTTGTCTTTCTCTTGGGCTTTTACTGATTTGTCCCTATGGGTTAAGATGGGATACAATGATGAAGGGGTTAGGACTTAGGAAGCTCAATCCTTTTTTTTCCCCGTTGATATGAAGTTCAGAAACATTTTGGTCTTGTAATGTACTATTGGCTTCTGCTATTACCTAAGATCACCATACTTGAAATTTGTGTCACTACGAGCTAAGTATATGGCGTTTGGTTTGCTATGAAGCATATTTTAGGTCTCTTGATTAATGTGGTTATGTTCTGATATGGTTTTGGCATGCTCCAATCAATTGATAAAACCCTTTTTAGTGTCCTCTTTACAAACGACCGGTTGATGCTTTATTTCCCTTGATTCCTTTAACCCTCAGCTGACTCATGAAGTCTCTGGCCTAGGAAGACACGATGGACGTACTTGGGAGCTTTATTTTACTTTGGTGGTTGAATGGGAACTAGCTGCTTGATTGCTTCTTCTTTTTTTAATATATACAGGGACTACTTTACTTTGGCTAATGTCGCAATTTGCTGTAATGATCCATCTTTTTCCATAGCAAACTCGACCCGTAATGGCTCATTCGAATTTCAATTCTACTAATCTATGACCTTCCTCTATAAGTTCATATCTTATCACTTCCGACTCTTTCCCTTATTTATTGACATCTAATTGAAAATAACTTTTATAAGTTGTTTTAGGGATCATTTTTGTAGTGATAGTTGCCCGCTGTAGTGACACAAATAACTTTTATAAGTCGCCCCATCATTCTGTGGTACTAAAGACACAAACCGAGAAGCAAATGGCCTATAAATAGAGGAAACTCCAAAAGCTACTCTCTTTTCCCATAATTGAAGTCAGATTTGAATGCTTTAGTTCTTCTCAATCATGTTCATTTTATATTATTTATAGCTTAATTTTCAAGATTCTTTTTACCCTTATTTTTCTCTTTCCATATGCTTTTTTCCCAAATTATCTTGCTACCTTACCTATTCTTTCGATTTCATCAACTTTATTGGGTTTTCTCCTAATTTTAGGTCCTTGGCTACCCCATCTTTCAATTTGTGAAAAAAAGGGCAAATCTTTAGCTGACTCCCAACTCCCATGATGGGGTCTTTAGCTGACTCCCAACTCCCATGATGGGGTGCTTTTATGAAACTCCTAAGACCTGCTCGCCTTAGGTTGACCGAATCATTGCCATGAGTCATTGATTCTCTTTCTTCCATTTCTACTAGAAAATACAAAGGTTAGCATAGAACCACAAAACTCGAGTAACTCATAGACCATGTAGTCAATAGCACATTTTGAATGTCTCTAATGTAGTGTTCTATAAGTGATTAAACTGTCACCCTTTTTTCCCTTTACATTTTTTACCATTTGAATTCACAGTGGCTTGAAACCAATTGGTTATAGTTTTGTGGCCATTTTATTCTCGAGAATATGACTGCATTTGTAGCCTATGATTGTTGGATTAGGATTTGGTGATCAATACAATTGTCTACTATTGAGTTTGAGGTGTTTCAAGTTTCATTCAAAAAGAATCTCTTTGGGTTTGTCTAGAGCATAGGTTTTCCCATGCTATGGTGGCACTTTTGCATTTCACGTACTATGGTAACCATTTGCATTTCATAGTACAATTTGGTTTTTTCCAACAATTTACTCTTATTTTCCTTTCCTTGTTGATTGGATACATTTTGTTTTTTAGACTGATATGATCCCAAATAGCCAACTATACACGTTTAAATTACTTGACTAAGAAGCTAACGAAGTTGGGAAGAAGAAGGGCAGAATTTCAGGTAGCCTACTTTGGGGGCTTGGTTCTCTAATTGGCTCAATGAAAATTTGAGTTTGATAGCTTGTTCTAAAGATAAGAGGTTTATCTACACGATGATATGCTTGGTAGCTCAAGAGGAAGCATAGAAGGTCATTTTCCAGACGTACAAAGATGCTATCTGGAAAGCTGAAAACTGCCTGAAAATGGCTAAGGCAGAAAACTGTTTTGTGAAGCCTACTTTGGAGCTCCATTCGAGGAGCATGGATCTGATTCAAGTCCAAAGGCTTCCACAACATGAAAATATGTATGTTTATCTACCAAGGAAAGGAATTGGATGAAAGATTGGAGTTCTGGAAGGCCTTGAACGAAAGGCACGAAGTTAGTACACAAACTGTTTTTCTGGCAGTTTGCTTGTGGTAATAGGCAGCTTACTTGTGCTTCAAGAAAGAGAGTCTGAGTTCGAAAATTGTAACCTTTTTACAGTAGTATTTTAATTTAATTCGTTTCCTTGTTAGTTTAGATTTGTATTAGGTTTTCTTAGCTATAAAAGCCTCCTAGTTTTGTTGTAATAGTCAGAGATTGATGAATTGAATTGAAAACTTCGGTATGTGCAAGTTGCGATTTGTTTTGGGTTTGGTGGATTCCAAACTTGCTGAGCTTTGTATCGATTGAATAGTCACTTCAATCGTGGTCGAGCAACTACCATTCTATACCAATCGAACGTTCCCCAGGTGTGGAGTCGGTTGGAGAGATTCGGAGCGATCCGAACCAATTAAATGCTATGGACAAGTTACTAAAGGTTCAAGGAAGCTTCTGGAGTCATTAATTTGTCGCGAAGAAGCCAGGAACGAAACGCATAATTTTGAAATAGGTTAATTGCATGGTTGGTCACTGAGATTACAAAATACGTTCATGTTTGGTAACTGGAAATATTTAAATCTAATATTGGTCACTCAAATTAGTTAAATGGTTCAAGTTTGGTCACTCTCCGTTCAACTCCGTTAAATTTGTCTGATGTGACAGTCAACCCTCAAAGTTGACCGTTAAGTCAGTGACGTAGCAATTAAAAAATAATAAATAAAATAAATTTTAATCTTCTACCATTTCCAACTCATTTTCAAAGTAAAGTAAAACAAAAAATATTATAATTACAAAGTATTCTATGAGAAAGAAAAGCAGACCAGGACAGGCTTCTCTTTCCCTGTTTTCTCCACCACCTCTGAATATCAAATCTTACTCACTCACTCGGCCATGGAAGACCGTCCGCCAGTGGAACGTGACCCAAGTGAGCGGCCTGCTCCTCCTCCCGATCATTGACTTAACAAAATTTCAGCCATGGAAGACACACTCCGCGACTACCTAATCGTCTCTGTCGACGCCGAATTCCCAGGCTGCCTCCGCCCGACGCCGCGACACGCCGCCCAGGAAGTTCGATTCGCCGATATGAAGCACAACGTCGACAACACCGATTTGATTCAATTGGTGTCACTCTTTCAAACGAAAAAGGCATCGTCGCCGTGATTTGCAGTTCAACCTGGAGGTCGACCTGGACCGAGACTTGCACGCCAAGGAATCCATCCGGTTCTTGAAAGCCCAAGGCGTCGATTTCGAGAAGCTGAAGATCCATGGGATCGAGCTTATCCAATTCGGGGCCGCGTTCGGTGGGCTGATCGGGAGGAGCAGGCCGCTCAATTTGTAATTATAATATTTTTTTTTTGTTTTTTTTTTGCTTTACTTTACTTTGAAAATGAGTTGGAAATGATAGAAGATTAAAATTTATTTTATTTATTATTTTTTAATTGCCATGTCGCTGACTTAACGATCAACTTTGAGGATTGACTGCCAC